TCGCTAAATTTGTCACTAGGTGCTTTTTGTCTGGACCGCAACAGCAGAGCCAGCCCTATAAGCATTCATGTCCATGACTGACTGACTGACTGACTGACTGACTGACTGACTGACTGAGTGATACCTGAGTTTCCCCATTGGCTGTTGCTTTTTCAAAGTGAATTGACACAGAATGAGAATGAGAAGAACTTTATTGGAAGTTCGGCTGTATTAAAATACTGTATATGTTAGCCCAGAGAGTAGGACAGAATCAAGTAGATAAAGAGCTATAACCAGCTGACATTATGCAGAATGCAAATACGACACAACGATGTCAGTTGTTTACAGCTGTTCCACAACAGATTTCAGCTACGTCCTCAATTTGCACATTCACCATATGTGGACAGCCATATACTAGATTTTGACCAAGTCTTGTTTGGAAAAAAAAAGCCTCTAAAACAAAAGCACTAAGTTGGCAACATTGTCTGTAAACACCTCCAGATGATGTAATAAAAACTGTTTGCACCAATTCATTTTGAAAGAACATCAGCCAGTGGGGAATTCCAACATTCAACTGGCTGACCAGTGGTGTAACTTCAGCAGTCAGTCAGTCAGTCAGTTACAGACTGGCCTTGCTGTTGTGGTGCAGTCATACATCACTTTGCTGGTATTTCATTTCTAAAATTTGTTGAAACAGCAGCAATATTCACAACACATACCTCCCCTGTAAAACCTCTGTGGTTTGTCAGCACGGAAAAGAAGAATTAGGAAAGTTGGCCTAAGGTCCATGTGATCTCACTACCCCACAAATTATTTTAGTACAACATAATATGATGTCATATCACTCTTAGATATTTCTGGAATGTTGCTCTTTACAAGAATCGAATGGAGAAACCCTCAAGCTGATTTGTTGAGGTTGGCTCTTGCAACATATGCCTGTGAGATGCCTGCTGGTTTCAATCAGGACTTTCCAAAAATAAAGAAACAAAATTCCTAACTGTCCTACAATTAATCTCACATGAGTTACTGTCTTGTGTATGTCTTTGGTTAGAACAGCTTTGTCACAAATGTCTCATTTTAACAAGAGTGGAATTCATTGGAAATGTTTGTGAAGTCTTAGGTTTTCCATAGCCAGGATCTCTTGCAAAACAATGCTGTTTTGTATTCTGTTATAAGATTAGGTAATATACAATCCAGTGGAGTCTTGCATCCAGGAAAAAATGTTAGTTTGTTGAAAATATAAAACTCTTATCTCCACTGTTAGTTGTTTTACAGAAAATTGAATTTGTCAGGTTGAGAGAGAGCTTGGTAGATCGATAGATATATCTGTGGTTGCTTTATCTCCTGGAGCTAAATGCAAATGTAAACTTCTCTGAGTCAATGACCACAAAGCCACTTTTCAATTATGTTCTTTGAGTACATAAAAAGTGACAAACAACAACACAAACAGATTATGAACCATGCAGCAGTTCTGAATGGTTAACTACCAACGCGATTCAGTGTCTACATACAATTTTGTACTCTCTTGGGAGAAAACTGACCTATTTCACAGCTGATACTGTTCTGTGCAAAAGTTTGGGCTGTCATGTCCAGCTCTGCTTCTTATGTCATGTTTTCATTTTTTGGCTATGTCTTGTCTTTTATACACTTCCTCTTTTATTTTGATATCATCAACTTTCCTCCTTGTTCCAGATTCTCTTCTTGCCCTTGTGTGTTTTCCACCACTATGATTGTCTGCCCCACCCTAATGTGTTGCACTTGTGTCTCATTGTCTCCCCTCTCCCAGTGGATTTAAGCCCAATCCCAATGTCCCCCAAAAGGCCTAAGCACTTTGTGACATATCATATTACTTTGCATGCAATTGTGGGTTTGGGACTTTTGATTTTACATCATTTATTTACTCCCTCCGCTCCCTTTTTGTAAACTATATAACAATGATGGATCAGATCTGATAAAAGCAAATTTATGATTTATCATGCCATCATAGAATAAATAATTACTCACAGTTCTGGCTATCAATCACCAGTGAACTATGTGTTTATATTTACATGTAAACTTCATTTGGGTTCGATCCTTTCATGCTTGTTTGTTAATCGTTCTTCTCTTTTTTCCATTTTATGGCAGTTTATTAGCTGCCATTTTTTTATACTTCCGGATGTCCCCTGGTAACCATGGTAACCCCATGTTTAATGTCACAAAACTATGAACTTTGGGTAATTCCCTCAGGCAAAGTCAGCTGAAATGTGGACTTACGGAAAGTGTGTATAAAGGGTTCAAAATGTCTGCTAAAGAGTCCTCGTGCCCTTGATGCTTTGACAGTGGGACTTACCAGTAATGTGCCTCAAAGTCCGTGTGGGTGGGGGATTGGGTTTGGGCCCTAGTCTGCATTCTCCCTTCCCCTGGTGCCAGTTCATCTGTGTTCTTTTTGTCAAGTGTTCCAGCCTTATTTCCTAGTGAAGTAAGTTTCTTTGTGTTTGACCATAGCTGGGTGTTTTGACCTCGCCTCAGCCTCCTCCCTCTGGATCAGTCTGTCAGTCTTGTGTGTGTTGCTCTCCTGAGTACTGACCTTTGCTAAGTGAAGTCACTCTGATTTCTGGAAAACCTCGCCTGAGTCTGAGCTGTGCTTTTGAGTCCTTGCCTTGAGGTGATCAGTTTATGACATGGGCAAATTACACATTTTGTTGATTATGAAAGTGAAAAGAAGTAAACACAACCTCTGCTGCAAACACATATTAAATTGAGTGTCAATGCACTTACTTTTATATTATGATCTTAAAAAAGTCTAAAAAATTAAGCAGTAATCATGACATATGCAAAAATTTGGGAATCTTTCGTCTTGTAAAACCCTCATAACTTCATTAACTCATTAAGCTTTAATTGACTCGTTTGGATTTGTAAAACAGGTCAAGGACTGTTATTAGGAATTGTCCAGTGCTGACTTGATTTGATGAATTTTCTCACTCTTCAAACCTTGTGATAACACTCAATAGCCATGGGCTCCACAAAACAACTGACTCTGGAAATGGACATTCTGAAAATGAATTGAATGAGGGGAGCTATAGAAAGATATCAAAGCTTTTCCAACTTGCAATTTCCACTGCCATTGTCATTAAGAAATGTCAGTAAAGGGGGACTGTGGAAGTAATGACAAGCTGTGGATTACAAGGAACACTTTCAGATAGAACTGCACGTCTGCTGCAGAAAGGCAAAGCAAAACCCTCATATGATATGATATATCTGCAAAAAGGTGTAGCTGACACAGGAGAGGTGGTGCACTATTCCACTGTGCAGTGTCCACAAACAGGGTCTACATGGAAGAGTCATCAGAAAGAAACCTTACCTGTGGTCTCATCACAAAAGTCAACATCTGAAGGCTGCAAAGCCACATCTGGATAAGCCAAAGTCCTTTTGGAAACAAGTGCTGTGGACCAATGAAGTTAAAACTGAGCTCTTTGGCCAAGATCACCAAAGCTGTGTTTGTTGTCCTCTTCAACAAGACAATGATCCAAAGCATATTTTAAAATCCATCATGAACTCCCTCAAGAAATGCAAGCTGAAGCATTTGGAGTGGCCCTCACAGAACCCTGACTTGAAAATCTGTGGGTAGATCTTAAAAATACGGTGCGTGCAAGACAGCTTAAGAATATCTCATAAATAAATAAATATCATAAGTTGACTGCAGGAAGAATGGGTGAAAATTCCTAAATTAAGAATAGACAGACTCTTATCTGGCTACAAACAGTGTTTGTAAGCTACTGTATATCTGCCAGAAGGGGGGTTACTAAGCACCGATTTACTAGGATGCCCAAACTTTTCTACATTCCACAATTACTGTTGGTTTTTTTCTTCAAGAAATCAAATGCATTTTAATGTCTGTTTGCTACAGGGGTTGTATTCACTTCCTTTCACTTCAAGCATCAACAAAATATGGAATTTGCCCAAAATTGCCCAAAAACACAACTGTATTTTGACGTAATAGGAGGAAGAGCACAGGTGTAACTAGACTAAGACGTTTCTGGAGAAACTGCAGTGAGAATGCTGCTGCTGCCGTCCTTTGTCTATTGTGTCCTGCTAAAAAGTTAAAGCTGCATAGCTGCTGAGTTGGTGGCTGTTAGAAAGCTCAAGCTAAACCAGCATTGTATCTGCATTTACATGAAGATGTCTATGTTATTTTGTCTGCCCTGTGTATGAGCATGTTGTCTTTAAGTTAAGCTCATCTCTCTCTCTCTCTCTCTCTCTCTCTCTCTCTAAGTATTTATGTGTCTGTCTCTGACTGTCTTAAAAGGTTTTCCTTTGAAAATCTGTGTGTATGTTTTCTCAGCATCAACTGAAATGAAGTGACTCCTGACTAAAACTGTACTAAAACATATAGTGGGGTTGCTTGCACAGCAATCCCACCAGTTAATAATAATCAGCAACACTAATAACAACGAACTTCCATTTACTGTAGGTGAAATAAGTGCTTAGTAATTGACAAATGTTTTAAATTAAATCAGATGTTCATGACAACAACAACAAAAAACTTGTGTACTATTGTGTTTTGGTTTATGTCTTTGAACCAGATGTGTAGCTCTTCAATAAAGAAGCTCATTAAATAATATTACTAGCTAATAACAACAAAATTCAACAGTCAGCAGGATGTTATGTCTGGAATTATGTAGTTTCCGTACATGTGGCAAGTTGCCAGTTAGGTAGGGGGGCATCCACTATGTAATGCTGACATGTTCAGAACTGCTGTTTATGTTTGTGTTTATTTTTTCTCTAAGCCTTGAATGGCAGGTTAATAGTTGTTCAGTTTTGTAATTAGTAATAGGTGGGAGGTCAACTAAATCAGTGGGACTCTAACTGGCATCTGGCTGCCAGATTGGAGTTGAGTACCTGTGGATGTTGGAACTTGGACATGACACAATTTCCCATAGTAGTGAATTTGGTGGACCTGGTGATATGAATTAGACAGAATTATTAGAATACAGTCTGCAGTATACAGTATGCCTCAGTGATGGATTTTTTTTTTCTCTCAGGTCCACAGCTGTCTATGGGAAAGCAAGAGGCCTTTGAGACCTTCACAAGGGACCATGAGGACTATTTGACTATTGACGACAACAAGAACCTAATCAAACAGAGGTAGGTGACCAGTTGTTAGACAGTGATTAATTCACATCCTGATTCAGACAATATGAGCACGTTTTTGTCAATGTCATCCTGTCTGTTGTATTTGTTTTTAGATCTCACTCATTGCTGTTCTCTCATATATCACAGAGGAACATTTGAGCGATCATTTAAAGACCCTGTATAGATCACACAGAAACATACACTACGCATGCATATACTGTACATCCAGCAACACAACTTCCTTAAATGTTTGATACCACCATGAAAACTACTGTACCTCGGAGAATCTACTTTTCATCAAATACATTATTGTGTAATTTTTGTATTAAAAAATTTAAATTAAACATTTTTCCAGTTTTCTGATCATTTTTCAAAAGGTGCTGTATTTCATTGAGAACTGTCAATAAAGCCAGAAAGTCCTGTCCCTTGGGCATTAGCAACGTACAGTACGCCATGTTGGATTTTCATTAGGATTATTAGCACCTGTGTGGGCTGCCAGATTTTATAAAAGTATTGATTTGGTCTGAAATCCCAAAAACTTGCAAAAGCCTCTCTAAGTAACATGCTGATGTTTTTATGTAATGTATCACTTCAAATTTTTTATAGCCTACAATATAAAAAAGATCTCATTGCGTTGTGCATGCTTACTGTTATTTTACTTTATTCAGTCTATATTTTTTTTTTTTTTTTGCTCCCATTGCCCATTAACATGTATAATCTTGTGAACAGGTCAGCTGAGGCCAAAAGACTTTGGGAACAACAGAATGAAGCCAGAAACAGAATCAGTAAGTTGTATCGACAAAGTTTCTGAGATCACATCACATTTAGGAGCTGTGAACACATTAAATTCTACATTTCACTGTCATCATCATCATCATCATCATCATCATCATCATCCTAATGGCAAATAAGAAACTGTGGCACAAGCCTTATGTTGGATGCTGACAATTTTTGTTACTGTTCTTTGGCTCCCTTAACACACCAGCCTACGTACCTGCCTGGAAAACGTTAATGAACAGATCACTGTTGGAGTTCCGTCTCCCTGGAGCGTAGAAATGTCGTTCAGCACATTCCTGAACTTTTCCAGGACTGAGAGGCGTTCTGATTTCCACCCACCTAGTCTTCCAACCTGTACTTTTTACTAGACTGTCTCAGGCTGTTTTATGGCAACTCTTTAAGCACACCCCTGTGTTCTTCTGGGTAATGTCCTTGACAGGTAGCCTTACTATGCCAAAATGAGGCCTGGCATAAACCCTAGGTTCAGACCGCGCTGAGTGAATCCAAAGTTTACGGCTTTGGTCCGGAGTTTCACTGATGTGGTATGTGCGTACATGTATATACTAGCGTGTGTTTGACACAGATCAGTCTGTTAACTGCTTAGTTTATTATTTAGATATAAAAGATTATTTAGAGTGCTACATCATAGCTAAAGTCCAGACTGATTTGATGCTACTTTATTCAGTAATGTGTCATAATCAGTTTCATCCACGGGGATAAGAACACAAGCCCTGTCACCAGTGTCAGTAAGTTTAAACGAGTTCACTGCACTTTGGTTGAATTTTCCAGCAAAGTCAAAGTGAAAAATGTGTTATTAGGGCTCGATCTGGTTTGCATTTACTGTTGCAAGCTACATTTATGAATTTCCCTGGACGATGTGTGTTTGTGGCTCATTACACATGCCACTGAAATGGATAGGTTTACCTCACACCAGTGCCTGGCATCATGGCTGCCTCAGATCACGCTTGGTGGTTTGGTAGCGTTTGCCTGTTACCCTCATACATGCCAGCATACATTTATCACCCTTGCAATTTAATTTTTTTTTTTTTTTTCAGGACTCAGTCTGTGAGGTGCTGACATAACCATATCTCAGACGTGTCATACATCACACAAAAATCACTTATGACAGACAGCATGTAGAATATTAACTCTTTAAATGTGTTGTGCAGACATCATCACTGTGTGAAGAACTCGATTTTAACTAATTTAGCATAGTTTTTTGATGAGATTTATTAACCTATCCAAGTTTGGAAAAACCTCCAAATCTTGATGCTGTCAAATATTATTACATTGTTAGGTGCACAGAGCTGCATTCTTCCTAGATGAGAGACAGTGTTTTTAGTGGAAGGTGGTTGCCTCTTCTGGCTGGAAAGTAGAACCATAATATTTAGTTCAGTATGTTTCCTTGCCATCTTGGACGCCCTGCTTGGAAATTTTACACTACCTTTGTCTCATGGTTAATGTAGAACATGGAAACAGTTAGCATAATATAGACAAAAGTGTTGTGCTGCTTTTTCTGATGGATGTACCCAGCATGAGGGTCAGTAGTAGGAGAGAAAGGGAGAGGCGGTAGCCCATGGAGACATCAGTGTATAAACATATCCCTGGTTTACAGTATTGTTTTTGGCCACAGCATATGGCTTTGGAATCCAATCCCACTGGAGGAGCATACGTTCTGAGCCCTTAGGTCCAAAAAGTGCAAGCATATATATTTATTCAGAGGGATCAGCGATGCACATCTTCTACAGCATGAAAGGTGTAGGGCAGCTGGAAATGAGCAGCATCTCTTGATTTCTCTGCCAGATGTGGAGGGATTTATGCGGTACCGTCCTACATGGAGCATCTGTTATCTGCTTTGGGACCACTTTCATCTGCTCACCTTCGCTGAAGTGACCCAAAGACCCAAGGATTTTGAGACAGATTGCAAGGAAACTCTACTGGAGCCTAAAATGTATGTCAATGCCAAGAATATTGTTCCGAAGCTCTTGAGGAGGAAGATCGCAGGAAGAATGTAACTTGATTTCTGCTTTGGATGTGGTCTTTTCAACCAACAGCCACTAGATTTAACATGACTGTTGCAATGATTTACTTGCATCATGTTATCAGCTGCTCATCAGAGTAGTTTATGTAATGTCCTTGGTTTAGGTTATGGCCACAGACAACGCTGTCTTGGAGCACATCTGTCCAATAAAAACACACAACATTGAGTCCAACTCTCAGTTTAGTATTAACAGCCTTTTATATGTTTCCTTTCCTTTCCTGCAACTCTTGTAGTTGTAGTTTATTAGTCAAATGATTTTTGTGAATGTTAATATTTCTGCCCAGGATTTTCACATTAGTTTGTGCACTTCATTCTTCATGTACACTTGAATCGTCACCCGCTCAGACATTGAGAAGCTGGAGAGCTTGTATGATGCTTGGATCTTGAGCTTACTGTGGTATTTGTGCGGCATATCACATTTAACCTCCATGCCACAAAAATCACCAAATATTTATTGAGGCTTGTAGCTTGAAACCGGTCCTTAAAGACGACAGCATGTCTCCTGATGATGTGGGGGGAAACCCTGCATGGTTTGGAAGAGGTTGTGCTGTTGAGCTCACAGTCTTGTCCTGGGAGGGATATAGGAGCACTGAAGTGTAATGAAGTATTGCAGTAAGCACACCGCACACCACTATTACTTGACACGTATGCAAATGTATCTTAATGGAATTTTTCTTGACAGTGGAGGTCAGAAATTCTGTTAACTTGCAATCAGTTTCGGTGCTTCAACAGACTGTAATGACCAAAAACAATGTTGTGTTTTTGTTGCAGATATGTGTATTTTTAGTAGTATGTCCAACAGCAATAGCCATGTTCACTCATCCTTATTTCAGATTACTTGATCAGAATATTGCACAACAGAATGAAGGCATAAACATCATGGTTTATGGTGGCCCTCAGAATGCACTGTAACTTACACTGTTACACTGCATTCAGCATCATGATACAGTAAATTAGCTCTAAATTGCCCTGAGAGCTCAACTCAAGTCAATACAAATAGACAAAGCACAAGCAAATTCAGAAAACAACTTAATCAATTTGACAACACATACGTTACAAATATACACAACACAACCAAATAGACAAATGTGCTGCTTGTGCTTTGTCTGTTTGCATGTGTTTTCCTGAGTTGAGTTGAGCTGTCAGGGCAATTTAGAGCTAATTTATTGTATCATGATGCTGAATGCAGTGTAACAGTGTAACTGCACTCAGCAGCACTGTGTGTTCCTTATGTTGCTGTCATGTGCTCCCAGCATGTCAGTATGGAATACTTATGGTATAAATATTTCTTTATTCTTTTATGCTATTATGAGAAAATGCGACTATACATCAGTGAGCGGTGGCTCATTTGTGACAGTTGTGTCTGTTGAGAGGACATGGGCTTCCTATCTAACCACAATGTGAAGCCACAGGGCGTCTCACTTCATTTACATTCCCAGCTCTCCAACCAACTGACTTTGTATGAAAACACATGGCTTTCTGAAGGGCTTCCAACTATGGCTCATACTCCATAGTATGTGGAAAAACACTGCCATCATAGGCACAATATGTCCCTGTTCGTGTCATTTATTACGTTTCAGCCCATCCATTCACGTCTCCACTGTCAACTGAAACCTCAAATGGTAGTTTACTTTAAAAAAAATCTTTGCAAAGAGTTTTGAAAGATTAGCTGACCAGTGCGTTGCATGGGCAAATTGCAAACTGCTTTAAAGTATTCAGCAGTGATGCTGAGAGTTGATGTTGAATAATAATAATATACGAGAGACTCAGCTTTACTCAAGGTCATTTCAGCAGGACAGATGTTTGTCTTACGTTCTTGCAGTGTCTTCATCTTCTCTTTGACAAAGCAAGAGCTCTAATCCAACTGTTTTATGGCACCATGAGAGGTGTTGCATGAAAAGGTATCTCGACACAGCACGCTTTTGCAAAATGATACATCATCTGGTTTTCTCATTTTTGAATCTCAGCCTTTAAAATTGGCGACAGGATCGTATTTCAGAAAGAGACACCGCCCGGCATGGTGTATATATGTATAAGACCTGAGGGGTTTTTAATGGGAACCCACCACAGAGAATACTGCCATTCAGCTTCCCTTTTATCATTCAGTCTGCCTCATAATTATCCTGGTCATTCACTTATCTCAATATCTGACACTTGAGCCGTTTTCTTTGATCTCGATGTGAAATTATCCACCTATAGTAAATGTATCCTGAACGTTCCTATTGTTTTGATCATCTGGTGTAGATAGAAATCAGATACGGCTTAAACGATATATGTTTTAGTCCATTTACTTTATAGTTGTCCTTTGCCACTGAAGCATTGCGTCACAAATTGAATGTCTTCATTAGAGCAGGCATAACAGATATAACAGACAAATCACTTATACATGTGTCACCCCAGTATTACTGCCATAAGTGACCCGAAAAGCCTCCATCATGTCACTTCCTGGCTCACTGGAGTCGCAAGAGTTCATTTTGAGGGCTGAGTAACCCAGCAGTACATCCTGTCTTAAGATGATGTTGTGCACAAAAACTCAATGACAAGTTCATCAGTGAAAGAACTGTGAATTATTTACACAAAAAGTTAAAAGTTAGAATTTGTTTGTGTAAAAACAGTGTAGAGACAATAGATGACTGAACAACACTGAAAAACATGGCATGGCTGTGAGCTGAAACTGCTTACTCAAAATATCTCTGGTGGAGGATGATTAAAGCTGTTTTGTTGTTACACACAGTACTTCTTGTTTACTGGATACTGAGAAGTGGAACTGGTGCACCGGTTTAAAAATATGTTATGATCAGTGTATATGCCAGCCAATAAATTATAAGAAACTACAGAAATGCCAAACTAGGTTTCAGGTAATTTAGAAACAGTGTCATAATCACATAGTTTGTCCACCAGGGAGCAGTGACAGGTTGATTTTTACATTATAAAATGTCCCACTCAGTGTGTATCTGTCACAGTTTTTGAAAACAAATCTAAGGGATTCATAACAGAAGATTGTTTATGTTATGCATTTATGTTCAAAAATAAAATTACTATCAGCAGATATATTTTTTAACTTCTAGATCTCAATATCAGTATCAGCCTCAAAAATCCAGTCACGCTACAGATGTGTTGATGCACTTTAGCTGGCAAAGCAGACTATGTAAGAACTGGTTTGCAGAAAACTTGTCTTTTTAATGTATATGTCTTGTGCAAAACGTTTTTCAGATGAGTTGAAGAAGCAGTTAGAGATGCGGAGGAGGCAGAGGGCAGCTCATGGTAAGCTCAAACTGAGAGTGGATGTTCCAGCAACAAAACTTAAACCATGTGTCTATAGAAGAGTAGCATAAAATCCACATTTATCTACCCACACCAACAGCTAAACAATGCATGGACACAATGCATGAGGCAATTAACTCATCACATGCAGAATCTCCACATCCTGCTCTCCTGCCTGCTAGTAGAGCTGACAGTAACTGAGAATCTCTGACTACTACACTCTGACAGTTGGCTCCACAGCCTTTCAACTGAGAGGATGACCAAAGCTGTCACAAGTGGAAACTCTTTTATCATCTTTTTGATATTGAACTCCTTTTAGAACAACATGGTAAACATTGTGAACACATTGTGGGTTCCCTTGAACTGTATGTGAAGCAGTGCCCACTTCAAAGCCTTTGCAGCCGGCCTCAGTGACTGAAAGCTTGGTGACCAAAGACTGGGCGGCACAACTCTGGGACTCCTTCATTTACTCTTTTCTGACTGTTTTGATCAGTGACATAAATGCTTTGATGAGGAAATTTGGTTGTAAAGCATACAAACATGTCCCTCCAGTTTGGACGCCAAAAGGCTTTTCTTGTTATTTTGAGTCCCGCATCAGAGAGCGCTTCACAGCAGCCTGGCTTCTATTATCCAGGGCCAATATTTAAAAGGTTGTCTTTGAAGGAAATGCTCTCACATGTACACAACACAGGCATACTAGCTTCTGGACTTAAAACAAAAAAAAAAAACAGATTTTATCCACAGTACAGCCACATTGTTATCTTTCTGCTCTCTGCCTGTCCAATTCTACTTTAGGTGTGATGGGGAATTCCACAGAGGCTGAGGACGAGGTGGACTCTGTGGAAGAAAACCTGCGCAAACACATTGAGCAAGAAAAGAAAGCGTGAGTGTACTGAAAGTGCATGTCAATGTATAAATGTACCATGTTTTCATGGTTTCTCCCAAGACCCTGCTCATCAAAACATGTGGGACATGTACGCTGGTGCAAGACCATGATGTGCTTTAAAAACAAGTAAAAGAATGCAACCAATGTAGGGACTTTAAAACACGTGTGATGTGTTCTGTCCCTCTGGTCCTGGTCAGCACCCGGGCAGCAGAATTCTTAATCAGCTGAAGCTGGTTTATAACATTTTTAGGTAGACCAGATAGGAGAGCATTACAATAGTCAAGTCTGCTGGATATAAAAGCATGCATTACTTTTTCCATGTCACTCTGTGTCACTGTTGTGTCCCTGCTTAGATTGATAAGACTGCAGATGCTGTGTCACATGGACAAAAGATGAATTTGGTGCTGCTAATGTCTCCCGTCAGTTACAAGAGCATCATTGACCATCTGAAAGCATTGAGGACAGAGATTGAGCACCTGCAGCTGTTGCTGGAAAGGGCAAAGGTCAAGCTCCAGAGGGACTTCCATAGGTGGTGGACCCAGGAGGCTTCAAGTGTGCAGGTGACTGGCCTTACCTTCCTCTATCTGTCTGTGTGACAACACCACATAAAGCTTCTGTAACATGACGTAACTGCCAGTTTAGCACGTCAAAGATGTTCCTGACATTAGACAGGAAGGCTTGTCTGTTCATTTTAGCCCCTGTATTTATTGATGTTTTCTTTAGTGTGTTTTCTGAGTATTGGCCTCTATGGACATGTTAGTGCGTGTCAGGTGATGTGCATGTGTCTCTAACTTAAGAGGCCTTTATGGCACCAGTGTGACCCTTGCAACCTCTGTTCAACATCATGCTGAATGGGCCCTGGTGGGAAGATAAGTAGGAGGCAAATACATAGAAACACATGTGACCCATACAAAGGCCCGGAGAGCAGCTCAGAGGCAAGACAGCAACAGCATCAATACATAGTCTCAGCAGTTCAAATGTTAACAAGGACAACATGTTCATGAGGTTTCACAGCAGCACAGTGGGGGATAAGAAGTGAGTCAGTGTTTATTTCAGTCCGAAATAATAGCTTCGTGTTTGTGCTTAAATACTTAAACTTAGACTCTGTACGGTGACAGGCAGTGTTTACAAAAGCTTGGATGACCAGAAAATTCACAAATCATGAATTACACTGACTAACAAAGAAGTCGGTCTCTGGATTCACACTCACACACTTTGCTTGGCCTTGATGGCTGTTGCGCACATTTGAGAAAGCAACCACAAAGAAGATGTTAAGCAGCAACATCTGACCAGCAAACACTGCTAGCTTCTCCTCTTGGGGTTAGTTCTTATGAATGGAGAACAATATCTCACTCACATCTGAGCAGCGTTTGGGAATTTATAACTGAATGACAAAGAGGAAGTCTGACAGACAGACCTTATATGTGCAGTTTTGATCTTTCCGGCAGGAAGCAGTCTGTTTTCCTCGCCAGTACATATATAACAGGCTCAAGCATTTATTGTTCTGTTTTTGACAAACAGCACACATGTAATGGATTAAACTTTGAGTTAGAGATATGATGGAGCAAGAGGACACAAAATACCTTGGGCCCTCTCCTCCCTCTCGCTGTGTGTTGCAATATGGCCACATGGTGTTTAACTTTCATCAGCATGGAATAGTGTTTTTCATCAGAATTTCTGTAGAAAAATTTCATTGATTTTTCTCAATGATTATGACCAAGGAACCTCTGTCAGAGGCCTCAGCCAGATGTCACACAGGGTCACCAGGTGGAAACTTGCAGCCATCGTCACCCAGCACTCCAGCATCAGGGTGAGACACTTACTCTGTGATTGATGTAAAAGCTGACTGACTGTGTTTTGTCTGTCCTTCCACCATCATTACTGCAGCAATCAGTAATTGCAATTAAAAGTGTGGATGATTACCTTTAGTTGAAGTGGTCATGTCATAAAACATTCAGTTTGAGTCTCTGCTGAGCCGAGCAGCTGATTACATACAGCAACCAGAGAAGTTACAAGGTGAAAAGCCTTCCCGTCAATGACTCATTTCTTCTTAATTCTCTAATCTCGTCTTTTACCCTTCCACCGTCTGTGTTCGAATGACCAACTTGTTTCCATGGAACAAATATTGAACAAATGTTAAAAGGTAATATCATTGGTGTTTTTTTGTTTACGCTGTAATTTGTCATTTAGCAATGATACAGGTTGTTTTCAACATCTCATGTCTGCCATGAAAAAAGCCTTTGATGACCCAGATATTGTATCACATTTAGAGACAATGACTGTGACATATGTCCAGGTTGTGTGTAAACATCTTCAATACTCAGACTGCATCAGGGTGTGTGCAGGTCTTTAGGAGCTTTAAAAAGCATTGTATTCAGTTTCCTAAAAATCTTTCCTGCTGTAGGCATTAATGTGAGTTATAAAATGTTTTTGTAGTTGGTTGCCGGCTGTCAGGACATGTTATACACTGTGACAGGGTATTGTTCATGTAGGAGGCTGTTCAGTCCTTTTGCGTGGTCAGCCAGCGACATCAGACTTGTAGCAAACACAGCTGTCTCTACAGCTAGCTACAGTAGCTAGGAAGATCTGATAATTGGCTAATGTTGATTCTGACAAAAACCTAAATGAACTTCAGTGGATTAATCATTTTTAATTCATCTATCCAGGATAGATTGTTATGTTCTCCTGTAAGTACTGAACAATATGATATAGTAATGAATAATACTAGGCCATATTTTTCTTACTGGTTTTACATCATGCTTTCATGCTTTACATGGTTTGACTTTAAACACATATTAAATTTTATTCTATGTGGCATTAAAAAGTCTGTTAAGTTAAAAGTGAATTTATCCTGTGTTTGAACACTGTGCAACTACTATGCATTGTTGCTCTTCTTGTGGTTAAGATAAGAACATGTGATGATACTAGAACAATATGAGACATCAGTGAGATAAAGTGTGCAGCTACTGTAGAGCCACCATGTGAGTTTCATTTGGACATTAGGCTGTGCTGCACCTACAAATCATTATGCTGTCACGGTCTACATGAAATGCTTTCTTTACTCATATAGTGCACCTGGTCTGAGCAGCACTGTGAGAGACTACCCAGCAGACCGAGACCCAAATCCAGACTGTACCACCTCTTCTGTTCACAATCTCAGGTCTGCCTATCTTCACTCTTCACTTCCTAATCTCCTTTTTGTTTCTTAAAGGGTTCTGCTGGATTATACTGTATGTCACACTTTGTCCTAATCATCATAACATTGTAATTATTGCACATGTGAATTTCAGAAGCTTCAATCCCTCAAGCGTACCTCAGTTAACACCTGTCCCAGCATGGCATGATACGTCCCCGGATGGCAGACTGACTGACTACACTCCCTCATCTGAGTGGAGGTACATGAGGGGCAGGCTTATTGGATATTAATTAATGGCTTTGAAAACAATAGAAGTAGTTTTTGTATGATATTATTCATTTTAGAGCATTTAACTTGCTGAGGAAAACCCTCCGACTGAGATTTGCAATTTAGAAACAAATAACTTCACTGGGATCTGTTAAAATAAGATGAGGCCTCTGTGAAAATGACTTATGTGACATCCATTATCTTATGCTCACATTATGATTTACCAAGTTTATTTGAGTACCGTGCATGTTTACATTTCTTTAAGTGTACACCCAAATACAAACAGTACAGAAGCTTGTCCTTTATGTTTGCAGTAGTCCTTAAATCTATAGATACAGCTGTGCTGTGTTTTCTCTCCACTCATGAATGTGGCCATAACTTGTTATTTCTTTGTGAAGTAACGTCTCCAAACTCTATTAAACGCTGCTGCTGGAATCATCTTTTTACAAGCACAGTAAAACGTTCGGTGCATTACATTAATGCTTTTGTTCGTCTCCATCAACCATGAGTGGCATAGAGAGATTGTTAACTTATTCCCTTTAAGCTCCTGGAACAAGAACAGTTAACACATTTTACAGCAGTGGTGCGCACGTACACACACACACACACACACACACACACACATACATTCATACTGTACATGCATCCAAACTGCTTTAAGTTAGAGGAATATAAAGTCCATATTTGTGCTACAGAAACTGTGAACTATAAATGCTGATATTATTTTACATTAAACATATTTACATTTCAGGGACCTTTCTACCACCAAGCTCTCATCATCCTCTATTCCGCTGACTGGAGACCAGCAGACCGACGCTGACATCCTGGCCTTTGTCAGAGCCAGGCAAAACCTCCTCAACAGAACAGGTAACTCACACACACACACACACACACACAGCAAGAAAGAACACACACACTGACCTCTCACACAATGTGCATTTTGCATTCAACACTGCCCTCTGGTGATGTGATGCCTTACACCACACCACACCACCTTACAGCAAAGCTTACATTGGCATAGATGTCTTGTTTTAAGCTTCTGAGAGTTGTATTTAAATTGTATACATTGCATTCTGTATGTTCTATACTTGAAATTAACTGCAAGCTATAACACTTGATAAGCTACCAATTACAAGGTGAAAATGAATACATATTGAGTTTAGCTTTTTCTAGTGTATGCCAAATAGAGAATGTCTTTTATGGGCAAGAGCTCATTGTTTTTCACAGAGGTTGAATAAAACTCCCTCACCACCTGAGCAGCATCACTTTATCTACCAACTGCTCATCTTTTGCTTTGAAATGGTGCTGTCTCTTGCTCTCGCTCTTCTCCTTTGACCCATGTGTAGCTGCTTCTTAATGTGGGAGACGAGTAAAGTGGACTTGGCAATCTTGTGGTTTACCACTAGATATCTTTTCCTGGCATAAACAAACAGACAGCACAAGTTCAGAGTGGAGGCTGTTATTGCAGTTAAAGTAATTGTTTACTGAGTCTCACTGCAGTTTAATTTCAAGGGTTGTTACTATTAAAAGTATAGTTTTCTTTGAATTTTGGAGACAAGTTTTGTTTTGTTTGTTTTTTTTACAGAGGAAGAGCTTATTTTCTTCCTTTTTTCTAAAATACTAGTTGATCAATCAGCCTCATGCTTTCATTTATTTCAGACCCACCTCAGAAGTGATGTGAAGTTCGAAGGAAGCATACACGGCCCAAAGTTATCATTATCTGCCTGCTTGTGCAAACACCACATCTGCCAGGTGACAAAATGACACTGAAAATGTGTGTTATATTTGAGTACTGATGGACAATGAAGATGTGAAAAATTGTCTCAACTTGGGTCCAAAACATCAAAGTGCTCATAAAAAAAAACTCCTCTGCCAAACGCCCACCACACATCCTGTTCCATTCTCACACGCATGCACACGCTCCTCCTGAAGACGATGCCATTGATATAATGGGCAGCAGTATAAATCACAGCCTGCGCCGGCCATTTGATCTGAACAAATGTTGTCTCAAGATATGAGAGGAAGGAGCAGACAATAGGAAACCAGTTGGCTCCAGTGTGTTTTTAAGGGTGTAATGAATCATGACTTCATGGTCACAGGAAGTTTCAACATGCAGAATGACAAATACAATTCATATTTATGTTGGGTTTAATTTTATTCCAAGGCAAACAGTTTTTTTTGTAAAATGTAAATAGATGAATTTAATATGTATACAGCTGTTTGCTTGTTTATTTCTGATTTTCTGTGAATGTAATGTATCTTTCTTACATTTGCACAAAATATTGATTCAAAAATAAAGCTGCATAATGACAAAATGTCAAGAACCAAAGGAATTGTGAGATGCCATAACGTGTTTTACTGTAGTACTTTTGTACATTTGTAGTTGTTAGCCTTTGTAATGAGTTACTTTGCCAGTGTACTAGGCCCAGACAAACTCCCCCCAGTCCCTCCTGTCTGGTAATCTGTGATCTATAGAAGGCATGCCAAGTGCCATGAAAGGTATTAGGATAAATAAGACTCTTGGTTGTGTCATTAGTTACAGTACAGGAAATTAGGTCCATCAGCATTCAGATTTACTCCACATTACACCAGTAATGTTGTACTGCACCCCCCCCCAGTTACATTCTAGAGGCTGTAATGAAGAATTGTCTCTCCCTGACATTTGTTGGTATTGTATATGAGATTATATTAGCAAAACTATTATTCTGCAACAGTTTTACTAAAGGATCATCAAGTATATAGAATGTCCACCCATGGAAATTAGTATTCAGGTACAGAGGAAGGTGGAGCCTATCCCAGCATGCATCGGGCAGGTGGCAGGGAAACACCCGAGACACGTCTGTATGTGGGCTTCCTTAAGATACAATATTTGAAATTCAAATTGGGTTGCGAACATTTTTTTTGCATGTAGCATTGATTATTGAGCACTGAAATGAATGAATCTGTGCATGCTCACAGTCAAACGACAGTGTGACAGTTTACTTTAGTGTAATCTTTTATGTTATCTCCATGACTATGCACACCTCTGGTGTTATCTCTGGGAGACTGACAGGTATGAATAACACACAGTTTATACTACATCTACAACCATTTCACAACATGGATAATCATTCCATTCCATCAGACAGTCGATGAATTTCATGCCTCTGTCCCAGTGCTCCTCACATTGTATCTGTTAACGTCAGCTGTCCATCCATCACCTTGGAACCATCACAACCCAAACAGAGTCAACCTGTGAACATTGGAACAACCTGTTTGCATGTCTTTGCGTTGATTTGTTTGACAGATGACAAGCAGCTGCACAATTTGCATCCCGGCAGAGTTGCCTTGGAGAAAGAGCCTTCCTTAGACAAGTCACGATATCTGTTATTTCTCTCAGTCACATAAGTGGCTTCGATCATCACCCGAAATAGCAGTGATGCCTAACTCCACACTGTATATTAAATAGCTTAATGTTTCCTTCAATACAGGGAAGACACATGGTTGGTTTTTCCACAATATCCACCATTCTACAAATACAGCTAAATTTCTCATTTAATACAAAGTTATTTTACACTGAGAATTACCACTGCTCCTCTGCAGCTCCCCCCGGCTGTACGGAGCTTCAGGGCAAGTTTTAGCTCATTATTTCTGTTTTCTGACCTGCTGTTTTATTGTTTTGGTCCACTCCCTCCACTGTCATGGTTTTGTTTTTGTCTGCAGCTGGCAGCTGTTCTCAGCAGTAGAGCTTCAGAAGCCCACTATACCCTACCTGCTCAGCACCAATCAGCAGACAGACACAGTTGGCAACTAGCTGGTGAACACACCGGAGCATTGCACCACTAAGGAGTCAGATGTTTCCCTCAGTAGCTGGTAGAGAGCAAAACAGAGCTAAAAGAAAGTGAAGATTGGACTCACATTGGCAGGTGGTCAGGAACAAGACTCCAAATTAATGATAATTTTGCTACATAACAGTATAATTGAATTGGTTAAAGAACAGTGCCCGCCTCACCAGGCAAGAGTTGAGTTGCTTAACTGTCAGGCCAGACCAGGAATGGGTGTTCAGCACCCTGCAGCCAGTGACTGGAGTTTCAGGGAGAGAAAAGCAGAAGGGAGAAGCCTGTTGTCTATCGTTGACCTTTGGGAGAGAACCACTCCAATCCCACAGCACAGACCATAGCCCGATCCATCTGGACCCTTTGGCAACAATGAACCCCAGGAATGACACAGAGCCTACGTGGAACTCACACTTCTCCGCCTTTACAAAAAGCTGGTGGCTAAGGAGACGCTGGAGAACTCGCCGAGCATGTTGGATGAGGGGAGAAGATGAGGATATCATCCAGGTAGACAATACTCATAATGGCCACTGGATATATTAAAGGCAGTCTTCCATTCATTCCCTTATTCTCGCCAGGGGATAAACATCCCTAAGATCTTGTCCTTTTTATCCACTAAGAAGAAAACATCACCAGCAGGAGAAGATGTGGGTCAAATGACAATTAAGCACAGGTGAAACTGATTAGTGAGGAGCAGGTAATCGCAGTGGCCGGAAAAACATGAGGGCAGGAAGTGACGTATCCAAAATGATACAAGAGGTGAGTATTTCAAAATAAAACACCAAATAGTGACTGAAACAGTAGCGTTGTGTTTGAAATCACTCACTCATTCTCTCGTCCCTACTCACTTTCCAGGCAGTTCTATGTAGAGGACCATATTGTGAGCTCATCTGTAAAATGGAAAAACACTTCCGGACACTGCTCGGGTCATTTTCTCTGCACGGTATTTCTGTTTACTTTTCATGATGCATTATGGGATACTATGAGTCCATTATATAGGGCATAATAATTCTTACTACTGCCTATATAGAGAGTAGTGAGTGATTTCAGTCACAGCCTTGGATTATACAAACATGACCGTGACAGTGGGACAGGATGTGAGTCAGTTCTGTGTTCACAAACTTGTGTACGTTGCCCTGAAGTGGGCAAAAAAAATCAGTTATTGCAGGTTTAAATTCAAGTTACATACAGTCCTTATAGTCCCACTGTTTATTATCTTCTTGCTACACTGTTACTCCAATCCAAGAGAGAAATTGGAAAGTTGTCTTCAGATGGAAAGCAATGAGTTTGGGACACCAATCTACCAGAGTAGGACTGAAAATTTCTACAAAGACCATGATGATGATAATTATAGTTGTAGTTTTTGACATCCACTCTGAAGTCTATGCTTTTTTTTTTGTTTTTTTACATTTTTTCAGACAGTTTTTAACATGCTAGCTTTATAAACACCGAAACCGTAGAACGCCATTAGGTTCTATCTTGAGGCTTCTTTCAACTCTTTGGTTTATGGCCCATGATCAAGTAGTGCTCTCCACACCTCTCCAAAATGTCATCTCCTTCCTCTCCATCTGACCATAAACTTGCCTGGCTCCTGAATGTGGTGGAAAACCTCTGATGATTGTTCTAGCAGACTTCCTTGGGTTAGAGAAATTGAGCTTTTAAACTGATGAGATTTTAAAGTGTCCATACTTAATTAAATTAAATTTATCTCCCTTGACATGTCTCAAATTGCAGCACCAATCATTATTATTTTAACTGCAACTTCTGTAAAGTATGTGAGGACGTCAGGAATCTGATCATTTGCGGTTGAACTACATTTTCCTCAGGTTTCCAATTCAGAGAATAAAATTAGTCCCCACAATGTAGAATCCTACTGAAAGATTCAGCATTAGCACTCCACATAATTGAGGGTGTTTGAAAAACCAACAGCAGTCAGGTAAAACATTAACTTTTGTTCTGCTGACAAGATGCTGCCACCACTTCCTTATTAGTGTAAACAGCTGAACGTGTGTGTGTCCAGATGTCACGCTAATGGCGCAGAGGAGTTTGATCGTTACCCAAGCAACCCATAAATCGGTGCCCAACATCCATGGCAATCTGTCCAATCAGAGTAAGAGCATTGAGGGGAGATGTTTACCTACCCGATTACTGTCACCCCAAGATACAGCTTCACCAAACATCATCCATTCCTCATGGCTTTAAGGACACTCTAATAGCTGCCTTTAAATACATTTTTGTCTCACTTTTCCTATTCCTTCAATCGGAATGTGTCACAATCTGCATTTTCTTTGAGGAACTGCACATGAGAACGGTGTATTTGATTGTTAGTCCTTTCTGAAGAGATTCACCTCTTTCCTGCGTTTGAACATCGGCATTTTTGCCTTTTCTGGTGCTGGGGGAGGTTGATGGCGAGGTTCCAGTTGGACCGGGTCAAAGTGAGCTGGACAGCTATTTTGACTGTGGCCCACTTCACATACCTGCTGGTCGGGGCCACGATCTTCCAGATAATGGAGCGAGAGGCTGAGAGCAACAACCGCAACCACTTCCAACTGGAGAAGCTGCATTTCTTGGCTAATTACACCTGCCTGGATGGACCAGCCTTGGAGAAGTTTGTTCAGGTTTTCAATCCGTTTCTTCACAGTTCTTTAAGGAATTTATGTTTGATAAATGCAATGGAAAATTCTAAAAGTGTAACAGCAGAATATGCACATTTATAATGTATAACAGCAAAAAAAAACTGTCAGCTTCTTTCATATTCAAGGTAAAATATTCTAAAATATACATGTCAGTCTTTATTAATGTGGCGATGGTGGACAAAAGACCAGTGAAAAGGAGTCAAATCAAATACTGAGAAACTGAAAGATCTATTTTATGATCAGGTTTTATATGATTAGGTTGGGTACATAGCAATAAATGGTTTGACAGTAACCTGACCTAATGAATCAATAACTGTCAAGATCCAAAATACTTACCAAAGTAATCACTGGAGTGTTGTGAGAGTAATGTGAGTGTTAGCATTAGTGAGGTGAATAGGTCCTTTTCCGTTTTTTTGAATGTTCAAATGTCAAAGCCAGCGAGCCTGACCTTAGTTTAAGGTTTTAGTTAATGTTTTTGTTCTCTCTCTGTGTGTGTGTGTGTGTGTGTGTGTGTGTGTGTGTGTGTGTGTGTGTGTGTGTGTGTGTGTGTGTGTGTGTGTGTGTGTATAGGTGATTTTGGATGCCTGGGAAAAGGGAGTGAACCCCTCAGGCAACTCAACAAACCCCAGTAACTGGGATTTTAGTAGCTCCTTCTTTTTTGCTGGCACAGTAGTCACAACTATAGGTGAGCATGTTTATATTCATAACTATAATTCATAGTTATAATTCATAACGTGAACTGTCCATTTTTGAGTTGGCCTGCACTGCTGACGACATATCATAATCTGCTTCACAGGCTATGGCAACCTCTCCCCTAGCACTGTGTCTGGTCAGGTGTTTTGCGTGTTTTACGCACTCTGTGGGATCCCACTGAACCTAGCCTTCCTCAAACAGCTCGGGAAGTGTCTCATCATCCACCTGGGTCGACTCAAGAGGGGGATGGTCTCAGTTGTTCCTCACAAGGTACTGCAACAGAATCACAGCATCAAACATTGCTAAAAAAAAAATATATATATATATACTTGCCAGAGAATGATTTGAGATATGTGTTACAGTTTATGGTAAGGCAGGACCCAGAAGGCAGCCAGCACTAGGGAAACGTGAAAAGTATTTAATAAAAAAGAAGAACGTACACAAACAAACTGGTGAACCATCTGAACAGAAAACCGAAGCACTAGGGTACACAAGGAAACTCGGGGGACGACAACAGGTAACACCGAGGACAATTACAGCAGGAACCAGAAAGCTCGAGGTAACAAGGACAGGTAACACCGGAGACGTGAACAGACGAACGGACAAAGGGGAGCACAGAGACTAATACTCAGGAGGGGGGGGAGACGATGAGACACAGGTGCAGCACATTAGGGCAGGGCAGGTAATCGGACAGGAGGAAGTAAAGGACCTGAAACGAGACAAGAGGTGAGTATCAAAATAAAACAGGAAGTAGGAGACAAAGAACACTAAATTCAAACACTAATTCAAACATAAAATGTCCACCATGGCAAACCATGACAATATGGAGAGTAAAGTCTTAAAAAGATGGTTACCTTCTTATGGATCACCAGAAAAATGAAATATTATTAACATTATAACAGATTCACTTTTATTTACTTCATTTATTTATTTTGCTTTATTTTTTCCCACTTTCTCTCTTTAAATTAAAAATAACTGTTTCATCCTATGCTTATATATCACTTTTGTTGTATTTCTTTTTAGTATTTCTGCCGTGCTGGTATGGTCTAAACCTTTTATGGTGTTCTGAATAATTGCATAAAGAAAAATTGAAAAAAAGTCACATATGTGCTATCATTATTTCATATTTTGTTTTGTCTCACTTGTAAGAGCCGTGTTCTGCCTGTTGAATACACAATAAAAACTGAAATAATGCCTGTGAATGTAATGTGAATGTAGTCTAAGGTGTGTTTGTTTCCTAGCAAACGGTTGAGGCTCTGGCAGTGAGTTTATTCTTCGTCAGTGGCAGCCTGCTGTTCTTGGTCATCCCTCCTCTGCTGTTCAGTTATGTGGAAGGCTGGACGTTTGGCGAGGGCTTCTATTTCGCCTTCATTACTCTCAGCACCATTGGTTTTGGAGATTATGTGGTGGGTGAGTAGGAAGAGCAAACAAGCACTAATGTGGTGGAAGAATCCCAGCGGTCACCTCTGTCTAATTAAACACCTTTTTTTTGTTAGCTTTGATACAATAAACATGTTGTAAATTTACAAATCAAATGCACCATGTAAGGGGGGGGGGGGGGGGGGGGGGGGGGGGGGGGGGGGGCATTTGCACACCTCTCAACATTAAGAATGAATGTCTTCTCTCTGCTGGGATCAACGTCACATGTTCTAACAAGGTAATGTCACTTCTTGTAGGGACTGACCCGGGCAAGGAGTACATCTCTCTGTACCGAAGCCTTGCAGGCATATGGATCATTTTCGCCCTGGCTTGGCTTGCTCTTATCCTCAACATGGGAGCCAGAATAATGGAGACTGTGGTTGTGCTTACTCACCCAGGCTTTAAGAAACAGGAAGAGGAAGAGGACGTGTCACCCACTAAACTAGAGGACACATCAAAGATCTGACAGTGGACTGTAGATGGGACAATCTACATGTAATATTTACTAGGTAGAAGATATTTTGTGTGATTGTTGTTCTGTACATACTATGATTCACAGTACAACAAGAAAACAGATGTAGCATCATTTTATTTAATAGCAAAACATTTTTTTGGTATATTTGCCAGTTTTTTTTTCCTTCTTTAAATGCTTTAAATTTTATCTTTCGCTTGTCAAGAATTGGTTTAATGTATTACACAGGCTAGAAAAACATTACAGATTTTTGATTGACAACTCTACCTCAGTGAAGCCGAAGGGTCAGTTCAGAGCATCAGGGCCCGGATTTGTTGAAATTATAAGAATTCTCTATAGCAGTGGTTCCCAGCCTGTGGGCTGTTTAAGAACTACTTTCAGTGTTTTCTTCTTCTTGCATTGTAAGGCCTATCACAGTGACAAGTCGGTGATGGGAATTTTTTATGTCGTCACCAGCCGGACCACATTGTATACTTGTATTGTAATGGGGTCTGATGTGGGCCACCAACATTTTTGAGCTTTATAAGTGAGCCATGAGTCGGAGAAGGTTGTGAGCCGCTGCATGAGCAGTGAGATGTACTAATCAAGCAACTTGCTTGTGCTCACAGTGAAGTGTATGGAAAAACCTTTTAGAGCAACTCACAATCACCACTGTGTGATTTATCACCTGTAGTGTGCTCTGAAAAGGAAGATCCAGTTACACACAAGATTTTATTCTATTGTATTTATTCAAATATATTTCCAAGACATAAATAGGGAGTAAATAATAGGAAATTGACTGAAGAAAAAAGAAAAAGAAAACCAAGCTGGAGCAGGAATGAAGTTTTTCTACTGTTGGACGAGTAAGACAGAGAAAACATAAAATAAAGAGAATTAAGCACCTTAGTGACCAGTGCAGACAATGAGGATGCATGGATAGTGAGCACAAGGAAATTTAATACCAGATTTATTCTTGTTGAAAAAACAAGTGGTGTAACTCTGTACTCAATATCCAAATTATTCATATTTATTCATCATGTCCACTAATACTTTGTACAGTTGTTTGTGCTCACCTCTATTTTTGCCCTGCAGCTGTTAAGGATCTAGTCTGACCCTCCTTCACAGACCTCTGCTCCTAAATTTAAGAGACTTGACAAATAGTTTTCATTCTTAAATCTACAAGGAAGAATAGAGGTGACTTTATCACTTTCATCTTTCTGAAATTTTACTGTTAGCAGTTTGACAAACCCAGGGTAAAAGTCCCAGTAAGACAACGTGTGTATGATCAGGTATTACCTCAGGTAGGAACCCTGTAATGTTTTTCCACCCTCAGGTAGAATAGCGAATAACTGCTGAACTATGCTTTGTTGTTTTTTGTACTCTTGTTTATGTATTTTTATCATATCTTATCTAACTGCATTGTTAGAATATTCTAATTTCACTGTGCAAGTGTGCACATATGTGTATATTTTGCTTGTGTGTTTGTGTGAGTCCACATCTGTGGCTGTGTAATGATGGTAAACCAGTGAATGGAGCACAGAGGGTCTTAAACAAACTCATTAATCAAGATGGTGATGTGAGGTGACCTGAGAGCGCACAGGACTGATCCCTGAAGAGCAGCTGGAACTCACGACTCTGGTCTCTGCCTGTCGGCCGTTTTTAAGTACATTCACTAAAACTGGCTTAAAATGTCGTGAAGACCTAAACTGAAAAAAACATCTTTTCTTAATGCGGAAGCTCTTTGTTTTGTGGATTGAGATTGTGCAGTGCTTCTAGAAATACAAACTACTGCAGCTGATCTTGAGTTGGCTGCTGCCATGACTGGACAAAGTCCTTGACCTCATACACAATGGTTCATTTTGGGCAGAACTTACCCACAGTCCACACTTACAGTCCAACGTTTGCCGGTGTCTCTCCCTCTTTCTGATTTTGTTCCACCAGATTTGCATGACAGGTCATAGGAATGATTCAAACAGTAGCGCAGGTGGAGTTTCATTTGCCTACCATGCAAGGAAAGACGACAAGCCAAGCAGGTAAACGCTCACTCCTCACTGTTCCTGGCTGCAGAGATTGAGACGCTGAGCTTGTCCGGAATCCAAAGTTCTACAGCGGGGCCAAGATGGGAATAAAGGAAATGTTCAGTTTGGCCCGGGTGCCCTCCATCCTCGTGCTCGGGGTGGTTTATGTGGCCTATGTGCTGATCGGCGGGGTGGTTTTCTGGAAGGTGGAAGGAGATCTCGGACAAAAGGACATCAGTGTTTTACTGTTGAACAAAAAAAGGCTGCTCACGACGTACACCTGTCTGAACCAAGACGGCCTGGAGGCAGTGGCTCAGGTGAGGCACAGAAACATGGGACGCCAAGAGAAATAGATTAATAGAATAGAATTGAATTTTCATTTCTCAGCTTTTTTTTTTTCCATAAACAGTAACAGAGGCAACGCAGTTACATCTCTGTCAAGGACATATTAACATGTAAATGTGAGGGGAGCATTTCACAGTAACAGCTGCTAAAGCCCACTCATCTATGTCTGTAGAGTTGCTTTGGGTTTTACCGAGAGACCATTGTATTTACATCTTAACCACAGTCCTACTCCCTTTTGCATTTTTATATTTCCGAATGAGGAAATGTCTTCATCATTAAATACTCAAAGCAAACAGAAGGAATTAACAGTACTGCCACTTGGTGGAAGTCCTGTTTGAAATCCTGACTGGTTTTTATGTGGCAGAGAAGCATCTTCTTCCATGCAAATACCAGCTTCTCCTGCCTTTCAGCAGAGGACACTCTACTTTGCCTATGTATTTTCCCTCGCTTCATTTACACAACACCAAAGTTGTCTAATCTTCTCCTTGGAAACTGCTGAGTTTATTTATTTATTTATTGATTTATTTATTTATTGATTTATTTTTAAACCTTGAAATAAATCCCACAGACACCATGTTACGTTGCACAGTTTACAGAGTAAGAGAAACAGCAGGTTGTTGATATTGTTGCCAAGTGATGTGAGCAAGAGACTGAGAGAAACCCTTCAGATTTGCATTGTGGTAGAAGTGAAATCCAAGCAAAGCCATAGAGATGGTGTGCGTGCCTGTTCAGCACACATTAAGGTGGTATGAAGACATGAAATCTAAATTTATTCAAAATAAGACAACATTTAATACACCAGTGTGGGATTCAGAGGTGTTGCATCATAACTGATACATTTAAAACCTTAGATAACAAGGAGTCTCAGATTGTTACGTATATCTGAGGTGGAATTTCCCACATCGGTGATGTGACTGTCTGACACAGTGCTGAGAAGGTGTTTCTTTATGTCATGCTGTCAACTGTAATGTATTGACCTGAATGGTCTCAAGGTCTCTTTAGGATGTACAGAAGTTACATAACTATGAGTCTGACCCAAGTCCATGAGAGATGACACTGTTTTATTTGAGCTTGCTCTAGTTCGAGCGCTAGTGTTACCTAGTTTGTAATTTTCATTTGTTTTTTCAGGTTGTTCATGATGCATCAAAGGTGGGCCTTAGTTTGAGAGGCAACTACACCACAGACGGCTTCTGGAAATTCACCAGCTCAGCTGTGTTTGCTGCAACTGTGGTGACAACTATAGGTTAGATATTAACAGATTCTTAAAGTTCATATTTTCCTCTTCTTCTGTGTTTTATTTGAAGTGTTGATCCATAAGAAGATATATTTGTGGTTTTAAGAACCAAAAACCATCTCAGTGTAGTTTTACATCTCCTCTCTCAGGCTTCTCTCTGGAGCTCTAGTAACAACAGGTCAGTGAGCCGATCAGAAGAGAGGAGGCGCTGAGCTTCTCCTCTGATTGGCTGACTGTTTTCTGTGTGATTAAATAAAAAAATAGCAAATTTCAGGGAACCAAATCCTGCAAGTTTGGATGGTGGGTCCGGGTGGGCGGGGCTTAGGGCATAGCTGAGAGCGGTGACTGCTTTGTTGTGACATCACAAAGTTCCAGAAGTCCTGACGGCTGGTTTTAAGGCTCAGTTTCTGAATACAGGCTGTGTGCATTTCTCTGTGGACTGAGGCTTTGATACTTTCACAGTATTATTATACATTAATAATATTTATAATTTTTAAGTGGTGCTCCCGTGGCTTAGGGTTTAAGATGCCGACTGTGAACAGCAGCATCCCAGGCTTGAGATTGGCTGGGGCTTTTATTGCATCTCTCTCATCCTTATTTCCTGTCATCTCTCCACTGCTGCTATCTTAGTAAAGAAAGTCATAAATCCGGGAAAAATTATTTCAAAATAATATCAAATTTAATTCGGTATTTGCAGTATCATTTCATACAAGAGCTGTTATATTTTATATGTGTCATCACACAGATCACCAATCAAGGCAGCTACTCTTGACATGACTTACTCTATGTAAGAAAGGTTCCTCCTGTCCAGAGAGCAGCTCTTCCTCTGCTTCCACCACAGTGAGATGAGATACTAACAACTTACAGTTTTGCAGGTTATGGGAACATTAGTCCTAGTTCAACAACCGGACAGATCTTCTGTGTGTTCTTTGCCGTGTTTGGGATCCCGCTCAACATGGTGGTCCTCAACAGGGTGGGCAAGTACATGCTTGTAATAGAGAGGAACGTTTCCGACTTCCTCGAGGGGAGGACCAGAAGGGTGAGGAGATCTTTAATCATCTGATGTTATATCTAAATATGTTTAAGAGCATTTGTGACTAACATCACTGCTTCTGTCCGCATCTCACTGCAGAAGTGTACCCGCTTTTTTGTCCACCTGGTGTCTTACCTGTCCGGAGCAGCTCTCTTCTTCATTGTGCCCATGATTGTGTTCCAACAACATGAGGGCTGGACCTACTCCCAGGCCATCTACTACTGCTTCATCACCCTCAGCACTATCGGCTTTGGAGATTATGTGGCAGGTACAGGATTATTACCATATCCTTGTATGTTCTTGCATGCACCTTTACTGCATTTTGAATTGTGCATGACATGAATTTTACAGACAATAATCCAGACAAAGAATACCCAGAGTGGTACAGCATCCTTATGGCCTCATGGATCTTCTTCGGCCTGGCCTGGCTGGCCCTGCTTATCAACCACTCCATCGACATCCTGGAGCGGCTCAACGCCCACTTCAAACTGCAGTGGGGTGGACAAAAGCCGGAGGACGAGTCTGGCAACGCAGAGGGCAACAACCCCAACACACAAATGGAGGAGGAAGATGAGATCAAGAAGCCTCCAATAACTCAGTAACCTGCTAAATCAGAAGATTTCAGTGAGTTGACCTAGTTATAGAATAATCTGACTGTCTGTACATCAGGAGCTGGGAAACTGGCATAAATGATGCAATATGGCTAAGCTATGGCAGGATGTGTGTGTGTGTGTGTGTTATAAAGACAGTAAATGTTGAGTGTCTGTGATGATGTAATGTGTCTGTGCTATGGTTGGTCAGTTCTGATCCCATTCTCCTTAAGTGCAGCTAAAATATTGACTCATTTTTGTTGAGTCAGGTTTGTTTGTTTGACAGCACACAACTTCCACACTGTTTAGTCTCTTATCACTTTGTTTCCTGAACTTTAAACAAGTGACTCTTCTTAATCTACCTGGTTAAAAAAAAAAAAAAAAGAAGCTGTTTGAGATTAGTCTGAGGAAGGATACTGGGGCAACACTTACTTTGCCCCGTGTATCTGTCCGGGGGTTAGTGGTCTGTCTGTTGCTTCCCCCACCGACCAGAAACCAAGTCATTTGGCAACTTAGTGGTATTTTACAGTTGACATCAAAGCTGCAGGAGGGGCTTTATGCACCAGGTACATGATGTCTGCAATCAAAATCACTGGCAATTAAAAATACATGTAAATAATGTGATTTGTTTTACATAATGATGATGTAAATGACACATTCCATTGCCATCATGGAAGGTATCAAGGTTTTTAAAATGATCTGGTTAACCATGACTCGTTTAGAAATTGCATTTAAAAAGACAAGAAACATTTGCTTGTTTACTTTTATTACTGTTTTATTTTTGAATACCTGTGATGCAAGTTAAATGGGCTAAGAAAAAATGTTATGCATTTTATTTTATTTTATTCCATTGTAAGATAATGTTAATTATCTCAAGTTTTAAGGTCACTAATTGTCAACCACACTTTCAACACAATATTAACATGCTACAAGTACTGTCTACATAAATCAAATACTGGAAACATTTAGTTTTAAAAAAAGATCATTCAAACTAAACCGAAACCAGAGCAATCCATGTTATTAGATTACCTGTTAAATATTTACCTGTTTGCTTTTATTTTATGTAACAAATGTTAAAACACTGTTACAACAACTTTTATTTTTTTTTTTATCTATTTATGCGCTAGTCCTAGAGTGTTTCAGTAGACTGTGGCTCATCTGTGCTGACATTAGTTTTATAGCCACTAGGTGGTGCCACTGCACCCACACTGGAGAAACTAACCAAAGGCAAAGCAGCAGATATAGAGTACCGTGTTGAAATCATAGAAACTATTTTGATCTCATCGTCACAGCAAATATACACTTCAGTTAAGAATATAAGGATTCTTCTGCAATAAAGAAATTCCTGTTTGATATCATGTTGTAATTGTTGCATCATTAAATAAATGTGTTCAGTGATAATTTCATTATGTGTTTGTTTTAGCCGTCTACTTCTTTTGACAAAGGCCCAAACTAGACTAGCACAACGCAGGACAGAGGAGCAGTCAAAGGTACAAACGTCTATAGAGGATCGTAAATCAGAGGAACTCAGGCAACGCCGAGGAGGAGTGAATGACAAAGACAGACGGCAGGCAGCAGGGAAAAGAGAGTGGAAAATGAGAAAGTGCTGGAGCGATGGATTGCAAGACAAGAGAGATGAAGTCAGTGAAAAGAATTAGGAGGGGGATGTTTGAGGGAAAGTGCAAAATTCCAGACAGCAGAGTAAGGCAGTAAAACTTTTTTTTTTTTTTTTTTTTTCTCTCTATGGATAATAAGGAAGGATGAAGGGAAAATAGAGTGAGAGTGACAGGAGTGTGACCATTGTACAACAAAATGCCACATGCCTGTTTGGCCACGGTTCAATGAGGACTCAGTATGTGTGAGAGGACCGGTGCCTCTCACTTGCTCCTGTCTAATCAGCCAGGGGTTTAGCTTGCATACTGTCCACGGCGGGACAACACTCTGAAACTGAGGTGCTGACTGTGTGAGTGCTTTGGGTTTCAGGCCCAACATCATCATCCTCATCATCATCATCATCATCATCATCTATCGCTATTTGATTTACACAAGGAATATTGTCTCGAAGCTCCAGTTCAGATGTACTTAAAGTCAAACTGCAGATATTTTCCATTACCACGTACGTTGTGCTGTCTTAAAGACCTATTGGTAATATTGGTAACCAGTGGAAGTCTGAGAGAGTGTGTGTGATGTGTTTACTCTCTGGATCTATAGTGGGTAAAGGTAAGTTTGTAGTGGCTCACAAGTGGGTTAGCACCCAAGTCACCCAGGTTTAGATTCAGTTTCATTTACCAGAAATACTGACATTTTCATAACTTAACCACAGTCACAGTGTTTCCTCACCATGACCACATGGATTTAGCTGCCTGACCTAAACCATAACCATATTTTTGTTATGGTCAAAAACATGAAAAGCTCAAAACTATCAGTGAATTAATCCTAAAAACACATCGATGAGCCACACTGTCACACTGTATGACATGTTTGGTTTTTTTTCATTATAATGAATCTGGGTGGTGTGTTTAGTTCGAGTCAATCCTACATTCACCATCTTGTGCTGCAACTTCTCAAAGCACATGAAAAGCATATTAATCCGCAGAAGAAACTAGTCCCCACAACTCTCCTTCTGTTTGAGTAATCTTTGCTAACCTTTGCTGGTATATTACCCAGTGCACAGATACAGAAGCTTTTAAACACCTTCAGATCGGTGTTATGTTATGCCATATGCCATATTTCTGATTTCAACCTGCCAGTTTCTAGTCTTTTAGTTTGGTATAATATGGAGTACATGTCTTTTTTATTGATTAATCTGCTGATTATTTTCTCAATTAATCAATGAGATTTAGTTTGAAAAAGGATGGAAACGATTAGTCGACTTATCGATTAATCGGCTAATCATTGCATCTGTAGTGTTGTTAGTGGGCAGCTGTGGCTCAGGAGTCATAAAGAGAGTCGTCCACTAATCGGAAGGTTGGTGGTTCGACTCCAGCTTTCTGTCTTTGGGTTGAAGACTAACCCAAAATTGCCCCCAATTTATCATTGGTGTGTGTATGGTAGAAAAACGCTTTATGTGTAGGAAAAAAAAGCACTGTACTTCTGTGTGTGTGAATGTGGCTTCCATTGTAAACTGCTTTGACTGGTCGATAAGACTAGAAAAGCGCCACGTAAGTGGAGTCCATTTACCATCACTTTCTGTCTAACAGGTGCTCTTTCATGGTACAGAGGATGAGAGCATTGCCACATGGTTGATCTACATCCTCAGTGCTAGAAGCTATAGCTGCTCCCCTAAACGTGAGGGAGCAAAAAGCAATGGAAGTGCATGTGAAAATATTTAATCCCAATATGAGTAAGTTCTGAAAAGTATTGCAAAATATCAGTTTCCAGTATAAGGAGGGTTATCGATGTGGTTTTCAGATTACAAACATAACATTGCATAACAAACCACATTTTACACAAACTGTAAAATCTATGTATACTATGTAGGGGTGTTTCTGTCTCTGACATATTGATTAACCACCTCTTTCAAAACCTGCACAAAACTCGTGGTCAGGTTTTGGATGGATTCAAAAGGTCAGTCAACCCAATGCCTCATGCTAACAATTCAGATTATTTAATATACATAAGAAACACGTGTTGCACAGGCACAAACAACATGAGTCTCTATATGTGCATACTGTTCATACACAAAGATCTATCTCAGTCTCATCTCCACACACAGGAGCAGCAGTCATGTCACATGAAATGCATCAGTATTCATTATGTGGATGTGCTTTAGGATTCTGACATATTTACTGTACTGTCTGACCTCGTGTGATGTTTTCAAAGAGCACAATCCAAATAACACAAAAAAAAAAGAAAAAAGAAAAGGAGAACTTACTTTCTCCAGTGAGACATTCAGCATAACTTGTTTGTTTAAAGAGCAAACATGTCCGACAGCTAAAGCTTTTTGCAGACTTCACATATGATTGAGGATTTAATGGTAAGCAAATATTATACTATATGGTTTAGCGTTAGTGATTTAAGCCTGTGTTTTTACTCATATGTCACCTCAATCGCTCTCCATGCAAATGAGAGACCATAATCCCCACTGGTGACACGAAGGCCCCGTGTTGTTATACACTAAAACCACATGGGATTAACATTAAATCTGTATAGGACAATTTTTGTCCCTGGTATAAAAACTGCTGTTTCTGATCGCAGCTAATGATAGAGTTTGTTTCTGTGAGCTGCACTGAAGCAAACTGTAGCTTGCATATTCGTGCTTTATTCAACATGCACAATGTACAGAACTTTATTGGAAGTGAAGTGACGTGTTTTACACTGAAGGGAAGCTAAAGCTACAGTAGCTCTGGCGCTCACGGAAAAAATAACATTGCCTTGACTTTTCAGTTCATTAGGTTTAAAGGAGCCAAACAGGGTTTCTTGCTGGGGGGCAGGTGGTGGTGATAGTCACTTGACAAGAGTTTCAGCCATTGTTTTCCTTATAATACAAGAGGTTGTAATATACTCTCTGAGCAGCGCTGCTACAGGGCAGATTAGAGGCTACAGTGAGTTGCTATCGGAAAGTGACAAGATGGGCTGGAACGGGCTGGGGCTAGCTAGTTAGCATTCTAACTGAGGTAGAAGAAAAGAACTGATAGAAACAAGAATTTAGTTTGGCTAGAAAAACATAGAAAATAGCTCCTTTAAGTAATCGGTGTACATCATGAGTTTATCAATTTTCAATCAAACACAATTAAGGTCAATACATTTTAGCAGGCCATATTTCAAATATTCTGTATTTGAACTATTGGCTTTGAGGTTGTGAGGGAGCAGCAGACACATAAGTGACATAATTCTCATCGCACTGAGGTAAACTGTGGTCAGTTTCATCATGACAGTTTCGTTTATGTGGTTATTAATCATTGACCAGCTAAACATCTGCTCTGATCGTACTGGTAAAAGAGAAACTGCTGGATTGACATAACTGTGGAAGATAAAGATGAACTGGGAATGCAATTACTGCCATAAAGGAC